CTCGTCAATTCAGGGGGTTGTAGGTCTTCGAGCAGGTACGCGCCGACGGTACGCCGACCTCGTACTGCGAGGGAAGCGGCAGCGACCGAGGAGGCGACGGTGAAGTGGGCTGCCGGCATGCCGGAGATGGCGACGCGGGCCTGCGCGAGGGAGAAGGGTGGAGGCAGGCGGGAAGGCGGGCGGGCGGAGGGGGGGGGGATGATCTGGAGGGGGGGGAGGGGGTGGGGTGGGGGGAGGGAGGGGCGAGGGCGCCGCGGCCGGCACCTTCTCCGGACACGGCCCGCCGCCCTTCATGAGAGCTGAGAGCCCGTCCTCGTGCGGGGACGAGCCCGAAGAGCGCCGCGTAGGGCTTCTCACGCAGTGAGACATGGCCGGGTCGAACGCCGCGTCGACTGGAGCGGCGATGACGGCGGTCGGGTCGATGTCGAGGACGGGCCGAGACGTGACAGTGACCGCGCGAACGCCCTGTGGGGCCGGGGAGCCGGTGCGTCATTCAAGTGCTTGAATGGGAGGCACCCACGGGGCGGTAACGCAGCGGCGCACCGCACTCTCGTCCGCGATGTCCGTGTAGCACTCGGTGGTCGCCTGCGACAAGCCGCCGCGGTGCGGTTGTAGGCCTTCGAGCAGGTACGCGCAGACGGTACGCCGACCTCGTACTGCGAGGGAAGCGGCAGCGACCGAGGAGGCGACGGTGAAGTGGGCTGCCGGCATGCCGGAGATGGCGACGCGGGCCTGCGCGCGAACGAAAAGGGCTGTGGAGGCAGGCGGGAAGGCGGGCGGGCGGAGGGGGGAAGACGATCTGGAGGGGGGGGAGGGGGGGGTGGGGGGAGGGAGGGGCGAGGGCGCCGCGGCCGGCACCTTCTCCGGACACGGCCCGCCGCCCTTCATGAGAGCTGAGAGCCCGTCCTCGATGCGGCGAGCCCGAAGAGCGCCACGTAGGGCTTCTCGCGCACACATGGCCGGGTCGAACGCCGCGTCGACTGGAGCGGCGATGAGGGCGGTCGGGTCGATGTCGAGGACGGGCCGAGATGTGACAGTGACCGCGCGAACGCCCTGTGGGGCCGGGGAGCAGGTGCGTCATTCAAGTGCTTGAATGGGAGGCACCCACGGGGCTGGAGGGTGCAGCGGACGGTCAGTGAGAGCGTGCCTGCTGGCCCTCTTGAGCTCCGTCGGCTTGGCGGCCATCGCAGCTCCCGGCCCAGCCGGCGCGCCGGCTGCGCAGGTAAACAGGTGACGCGCGGTGTCGGATTGGCGAGACGCAAGGCGCTTAGCGTCGGGGAGGGGCATAGCGGGCGCGTGGGGCTTGGGGGGGGGGGGGGGTGCGCCTGCCACTCGCGAAAGAAGCAAGGAGAGGCCGCGCACGATCTAGACGCGCCGTCGGGGAGTGAGCCTGGCGGGGTTGAGCGAAGCCTCTCCCACTGCGGCGAGAGGCAGGCCCTCCCTCTGCGTGAGGCATGCCGGCGCTGCATGTTCATGTTGCACGCATTCCGAAGCAGGGTTGGGGTGATAGGGTGCGGCGGGGGTGGGGGAGGCCGGAGGGAGGCGGGAAGGCGAGGCGCTGGCACGGAGAGTGTGCGCGTGCTGCGCGCCTGCTCGAGGCCAGGACGCCGTCGGCACGACGGCCCGGGCTCTGGCCCTCCCGTGAAGAGCCCGACGGCCTTCTCGAGTAGGATGCCCTCGCCGAGCAGGCAGCGGCCCCCGGCACAGATTGCTCCTCGCCGTCCTCGCCAAGCATCGCCAGCGGCTGCGCGGAGGTGGGGAGGTGCAGTGTCTGGTGAGAGGAAAGGAAGAGAGGGGCCGCGATGAGTCGGGCGATAGACGGGGCGCGCGGGGGGGATGATGGCGGCGCGGTCCTCCCGGCCGCGGGTGGGGCGGTTGCGAGCGGAGCTCGGGTGGCGAGGAGGAGGCGGGCTGTGCAAGAGGGAGAGGAGGGGGTGCGGGGAGGACTACTGGCCTGCACGAGCGCCGTGATGCCGATCGGGCGAGCTTCTGCTGGTCGAGACCATCTGTGGGGGGAGGGGGGGGAGGGGGGGTGGCTGCTGTGGCGTGAGGGCAGTGGTCACCTTGAATGGTGCCGCGGGGCTGGAGGGTGCAGCGGACGGTCAGTGAGAGCGCGCCTGCTGGCGGCGAAGAGGACGGGCCGGTGGGATGCTGGACATGGCGTCGCGGACCTGCGCGCGTGCGCGAAGAGGAGGGTGTCAGGCGGCGGGCGGCGGGCGGGCGGGGCAAGGGGGAGGGAGGGGGGGGGGATGGAGTGTCGCGAATCGTGGAAGGGGCGCAAGCATCGCGAAGGGGGAACGGGCGTGTGGTTGAAGGCCAGCCCTCGCGATGAAACCGCGCCTATTCCACGACTCGCGAAGGGGGAAGTGAGAGCGGGCAGTGTGGTTGAAGGCCAGGATCGAGCCGCGCACCGAGCAGCCGAGACCAAAGTGCTGGTGCCGCGCACAGAGTCGTCGACATCACGTGCTCGCCTGCTGCATGTTGCGCGCGAAGCAGGCTGCGCGCGTTGGGTCGGCGGGAGGCAGGGGTGATAGGGTGCGGCGGGGGTGCGGGGGGCTGGAGGGAGGCGGGAAGGGCGAGGCGCTAGCACAGAGGGCGTGCGCGTGCTGTGCGCCCGCTCGAGGCGTGTCGGGAGGCGGGGCGGACGCAACGAAGAAGAGGGGGCGGAAGCGAGTGTGCAAAGAGGGAGGGGAGGGGCTGAGGGCGGGCAGGAGGGAGGGGGGGGGGGGGGGGGGCGGACGGAGGGCCCATCCCTTTGCCTCGTCCGGGGCGAAGCGGCACCTGCAGCGAAGGTTCTGAGAAGGTTCTGGGCTGGCCACGGTGTACACAGAGAGCGTGCGCGAGCTGCGCGCCTGCTCGAGGCCAGGTCCCTCTCGGCTCGCCCCGGGATCTCCACCCCTACGAGCCTCATGAGCAGCGCGGGTTGCCCGAGCACTCAAGGCACAAGGGATGGGATGTCAGAGCGGGCAGAGGCCTGCGTCATGACGATCAAGGGGAGGATGATGACGACGGTGAAGAAGCAGATGGCGACGTTGTTGATGAGGATGTTGACGAGGATGGTGACGAGATTCCATGGTGACGAGGATGGTGATGAGGATGGTGAGGATGGTGATCGAAAAATGCGGGTGGCGCAAAGACGTCGACTCGCCGCATATATGCTCATGCAAAGCAGGCGTGCCGCGTGCGCGAGGCCGGCGATGTAGCCGACGGTGGAGACCGCCCAAGTACGCTTGCCAAAGGTGCCGCCGCCGACGTTGAGCCAGCCCGCTCCGTGTGATATGCGCGTGTTTTTTGGGCGGGGCTTGTGTCAACGGAGCTGCGTCTGTTTGGGACTAGCTTGGGATGGCTGGCGGCGGGCCTCTGGTTGACTTGACGGACACCTGCGAGGGCCGGGTGCGTGTGACGAAGCGCCGAATGCCGGCGGCGAGCGCGAGGGGCGCACCTCGAGCCTTCAGCTAGCTGTGCACAGAGAGGACGAGCGTAGGTGATCGCGAGACAGCGAAGGTGGGGGTTCGTTACGTGAAAGATAAAAAAAAACCGTACGCTTTAAGCTTCTCGGGCACCCCGAGGCCCATACGGTTGGCCGCCTTACCGGGTAGTGAAAGAGCTCGGGCCCCGGGGCCTTGTGCGTTTACGTGATCTGTGATGATCTGTGATCTGTGAGGGTCCGCCCGCAGGCGCATTTTGTATACCGAGCGAGGCGGTGCCCGGTGCCGAGCGCAGGCAGAGCCCACAGGTCGGACCTTAAGACAGCATTGTAGATCCCTGGGCGAGGGTGGTGGAGAGGGCGGTCCGGCGGCGGAGCACCCACCTCCTCCCGGCGTGCCGGGACGCGGGAGGCAGGATGTCACCCCCCGTGATCCAGACCGCCCCGTTGGAGGTAGGCCGCTCGTCTAGCCAATCAGCCTTAATTAAGCGAGCGGCCTGGCCGTTGGAATGGCCGGGTGGAGAGAGGGGCTCGCCGACCCCCCTCACGGCTCCACCAGCTTTTGCTTCAGACTCGGGTTCTTGACCGACATGCGTGACGTGCGGAACGCCGTCGGCCCCATCAGGGACAGGCGGACGGAGGCCTCCATGTCCAGGATGGGGTGCTCCGTCGCTCGTGGCCCGCCCGGCAGCTGTGTCGTCCCGTTGTAGACCGCCATGCCCAGCAGTAGCAGCCCAAAGCCCCCGAGCTGCACAAAGCTGGCGGCACCCACCCTTCCACGCCTCGCCGTACGCGCCCGCCGTCACCTCGTAAAAGAGGAAGAGCTGCACCGCCCAGGTTAGCGCTGGCCGCGCGTTGCTAAGGATGGCCCCCCAAACCGACGAGAGCTTCTGTGACGCCACCGCGCGAGAGTTCGTGAGGCGCGGGCCGGCCGGGGCCGGACAGGGGTTGGGCCTCTCTGCGCGCCTGCATGACGATCTTCAGCATGCTCGCGTTCAAAGTAAGGACGAGCACGCTGTTGAACAGCTCCAAGGGGGTCAGTGATGGGGCAAGTGGCGGGGCGAGTGGGTGAACGAGACTCGAGAGGGGCGCCTGTAGATGCCCAGCAGAAGCTGGATGAAGGGGGAGCGGGAGAATTTGTGCCACGTATTGTAAAAGTCCTCGAAGCGGCCGTGGTCGTCTCCAGGGAGATGGTAGTACGCCGGGTACACGACACAGAGCGTCAGGACGACGCCTGCGAGCCCCATGCAGCCACACCACAGCACCAGAGGCGGCGTGTCGAGCTCGGACATCCCACCTGCACTGGTGTTGTCAGATGTGACGATCCCAACCACGCCAACAATGAGGACTCGGCGGAGAGATTGTCTCATCTCCTGAGCCGTGAGCGAGATTGTGATCTCGCGATAGTGAACGAGATTGTGATCTTGCGCTAGCGCCCGCGACGGGCCTTGCCATGTATCGATCACATGGCGAGCTCGTTAGAGAGGTTGTGTCTCATCTCTTGAGCGAGATTGTGATCTCGCTGCAGTGCCATGCGGCGGCACAAGTCGAGCTGTGAACACGCGGTGTGAACGAGCTCGGCAGCGAGATCGTCTCATCTCTTGAGCGAGGTTGTGATCTCGCGGTAATGAACGAGATTGTGATCTCGCGCGAGCGCCCGCGACCCGGGCCTTGCCATGTATCGATCACATGGCGAGCTCGGTAGAGAGATTGTCTCTCACGTGGCCAACGCGGTTAGACCAAGTATCATCCACACGGTGTCGCGCTGGGCGTGTGGCTGGGCGTTCAAACAAAGCCCCGCTCGCAGTCCCCAACGGGGGGAGGTGTGGGACAACGAGCCGCCCTTTCGATTTCAGTTTATTTGTCGCGCCGTTGAAGGCTGTTGAAGGCGGGCGTCGTGTGTGTGCCCCGCAAGCGCCACGTTGAGCCAGAAGATCTGCTCGCGTGGCCACGCGCCATGCTGAGCCGCCAGAAGAGGTTCGCGGTGGGCGGCCCCTACCTACCATCCTACCTACTAGGTACGTGGGCCCGTTAGTTAGTCTCAGCCCGCTGAGTGAGTGAGGCGTACGAGAACCCGAAGGTAGTGACTTAGCGGTAAAACACCATCATGAAGCTACCCAACGCCGCCCAGAAAATCCACTTCGAAAGAAGCAGCCGCAGCAACTCGAGTAAAAAAAGATCCACGCCGAAGAACCCGCCCGGCACGGCGCGCCGACAATGCGCAAGGCGGGCGTGTCACAGAAGCGCACTTTCGATGACGGCAGCCGGAGCGCTGGGTGTAACGCGCCGCTGCCGGTGGGTGAGTCTCTGAAAGCGACGCCTGTGCGGCGGGGCTCACGGCATCGACGGGCGGCTTCAGACGCATGGCTCAACCCGTGGCATGAGCTGCAGCATGCCCGTGCGCCGGCTGCGGCCCCATCAGCGGCGGCAGAGGCGACGGGGGCGGGGGCGGGGGCGAGTGTGGCTTCGACGGCCTCGGCCGGGCCTGCGGCATCGGGGAACGCGCGTGGTATGGAAGGGTGCTCGGGCCAAGTGGAGGCGGAGGCTGCAGAGTCGGTGACAGCGATGCAGGTGGGGGGAGCGGGGGCGGATGCCAAGATCGAGGCGTCGTTAAGGGCTGTCGATGTCACCGAGATTGAGGGTGGCGGGACCTTCTGCAGCGCTCCTGCTTGCGGAGCGGTCCCCGAGGTGACACTTCCTAGACACTTCCTACCACTCCTAGTTAGCACCTCCTGACACCTCCTAGACACCTCCTAGACACCTCCTAGACACCTCCTACACGCCCCCTACACACTGGTAGACACCTCCTACACGCTCCCTGGCACACTTCTTGGCGTTCCCGACCGCGGCCGCACCTCAGGTCAGTAGCAGCGGAGCGTTTAAAACAGCAGAGGCAAGAGAAACACCTCAGGTACCCTGTGAGACAGCGGAGATATAGCCGAGATACTGGTGTAGCCGAGAGGAGGCTATCTCTCCGCGCGCCCGAGATGTCTCTCGGCTATCTCTCCGCCCCGGGTAGAGTCTCTCGGTACCCTGTGAGGCGGCGCTCAATCACATGCACTGCATTGGGTGTGTCTACGTGGTTCGGCGCTGTGTGCGCGACAGCGATGCCGCAGAGACGCGTGAGCTGCGCTGCGCCGGCACAGCCACACGGGCACCGCGCTTGCGCTGCTCTGGGGGGGGTGTCGGGGCGGTCTTATGGAGCTGTCCAGGAAGGGGCTGGGAGGCGGTGCAGGTGTCTGTGCAGCGCCGTGCGGCCAGCCCCGCTCTCGTAGTGTCTGGGAAGTGTCTGGGAAGTGTCTAGGAAGTGTCTAGGAAGTGTCTAGGAAGTGTCTAGGAAGTGTCTAGGAAGTGTCGCATTCACCTCGCGCGTCTTCCGGCTAGGTGCGAGGAGGGCACTGCGCCGCGGCTCTGCCCACGCCAAGTCTTCCTCAGGAGACAACCCCGCAGGGCAGGTGCCAGCAGACAGGTCAGACGAGGTGTAGCCGAGAGGCGCATCTACACACACACACACACACACTCACACACGCAGCTCTCTCCCCCACCCGTGCGCACTGCGCTGTGCACTGTCAGTGGCTGTGCACTGCTGACTGCCCGACGAGTGCAGGCGGGCGAGCAGTCAGTCCGCCAGGAGGGGGGCGAGGGGTAGTATAGTCGGGAGGCGGCGGCAGAGGAGGAGGAGAGAGGGAGAGGGGGGAGAGGGGGGCGAGGGGGGGCGAGGGGGGCGGCGAGGGGGGCGGCGAGGGGGGGGGGGGGGGGGGCGGGACCAAGGGCAAAAAAATTTTACACCCCTCCTAGCTCGGAAGACGGGGCACACACCCCCGCTGACCCTGCGCCCGATTGAGGCCCCCCCCAAGAAAAAGGGGGAAAAAGGGGAAAAAAGGGGAAAAAAGGGGAAAAGGTGGGGAAAAATTGGAAAAGGTGGGGAGGCCACCGGCCGTATCACCCTCGACACAAAAAGCGCCGCAAACCTCGAGCACTAGTTGAACACAAGACTGCGTCTTCCCCTTTTAGGC